GTATGTTATTGTTTATAAAGCTTTTATTCAAGAGTCACATTTAAGTATTTTGATATATCATTGGAACACAAAATCTTATGGTGGTGACATCTGACGGTGTTGACAAATTTGGCATTTCTTTCACAAAACCAATGGAGTTCATGTAGTAGCCATTTTATTTTTTTCTGTTGATGCTAGACGCTAATGGAACCTGGTTCAGGAGAATAAAATTATCTAAATATTTCAAATAATTTCCTCGGAAACTGGAAGATGGTGTTGACATATCATGGTTGTGACACAGGAAACATTAACATCAGGATTTAAAATATTCTAAAACTATAAAACTTAGCAGAGCCTGTCTGACACTAAACTTGCTTTGATAGGAGATATTATTAAGTGCTGCTTTTGATAAAACAAGCTATTTTTCATCATTACAATTTTTTTTTTTAACCATTTATTGCATATGAATGATTGAACCCTTCTCTGTGGACACACTGTTTTAGTTGTAGTGAGAGGACATTAAGAAACACAGATTTGGTATAATAACGAGAAAATTAAATTGAAGGTGATAATTGTGTTAAATACATTCTATTATTAATCCTCATGACATTTAAAATTGAAAATATTTTTATTTTTAAACCTAATAGCAGTTACCCTTGCTGGACCTGTTTTGTCCCATGTCTCAAGAATGACTGAGTAGCCTTTTATTTAGTTTTAAATATCAACAAAATACGTTTTTATTACATTCTAATGATATACTAGATTGATTGAGATTAGTTATAATAACCTCAAAGATATACAGAAACTTTATAATAAAATTGCTCATAACACTAAAACCATAGAGAAAGTGAGTTACGCACATCAGACGAGGTTCCATTACAGGTTTGGTCCTCTAGCGCCATCTAGTGACACCATTTACACAGCGCGGAGTATTCATCAAACATGTGGAGGGCGGGAAAGCAGATGCTGAAGGTCAGGTCAAAATTATTAACTACTTATTCTCACAGAGGTTCTGCTGCTCTGATATAGTAAATATGATTTGATGTTATGGTCAGTGATGTTTCTGGCTGATGTTTAGCACTCGCAGACTCCATTCTTCACATTTCTGTCTCCTCATCAAGCCCTCCAGGTGGAGAATGAACTAAAGCCAGAAAAGAAACAGATGATAATACTCACAGTATCTAAAACGCGCTTGTTGGAGCATGTGTTATGAAACTATTAATGTTAATCAGCATTCAAACCCCCTCTCTTTGAAATCCCTTACCAAAATATCAATGGTTTATTGTAACTTACCAAATGAATTATTTGCTACCACTGTCAAAAAATACAGCGGAACAACAAGTCTTAAAAGTGTAAACAATTGCAAGGCAGCCATATACTGAACATGGAGTGCACAATAATTCAAGACTCACTGCATCAGTTAGACCAGAATACACCTTTCTAAAAGATGAAGTTATTGTATTTTTAGTCATGTAATGAATTGCAAATTGTCATATCTGTACTAGTTTTCAGTGCTCTAATGAAAATTATTTTTAAGAATCACTTACATCCTGCAGAGCCTTCAGCATTGCCTTTTCATTGGCTCTGGAGCGAACACATATGTGGAAGACTGTGATCATGCTGGTATTTTCTGAAAATTATGGACAATAAAAATATTAAAGAAATTCTGCATCATATAGCAACCATTTTTATTTGAGCCAGAATTCCATATTACTGTGTATTCTATTCTACTGAACTGAGCAATAACATGTAAACAATATCTACACTTTAAAAACTGATTTTTCTAAGTTCTAAATTAAATTATTGGAGCATGTTTTACAATTTCAGTCTTTCTATTTACATTTTTTACCCTTACTTCAGTGTGTTACTTGCTGTTTCTTTGAAATGTATTTGTATTTGTATTTGTATGTAATCTGTATTTGCATAAATGATACTATAGCAAATGCTGAATGCGAATATTATTTAAGCAACTATTTATATATAAATATGCAGTTTACCTTTCTGGTTTCGGGTGCTGAGGTTGGTGATGATGATGAAGACGGTGGTGAGGTTGTTGGTCTTGATTGTGAGGATGATGAAAATGATGGTGAGGAAGATAAAGCTGATGTGGTTTCTGATGCTGAAGATGGTGAAAGTGTTGGTATGGTTGATGAAGGTGAAGATGAGGGTGATTGAGAAGTTAAAGATGAGGATGTTGAAGAATATGCTAAGGTTGGTGATAAAGATTCAGTAAATATAAAAAAATAATTTATGCACATGTGTGAATTCTGATTTATTATATTAAATATTAAAGAACAAATAAATTCATGCAGCTTTTGGTGTCTAATATTAACTCAAGTATTAATTAGGGAAGTCGTGGCCTAATGGTTAGAGAGTCAGACTCGTAACCCAAAGGATGCGGGTTTGAGTCTCGTATCGGCAGGGATTGTAGGTGGGGGGAGTGAATGTACAGCACTCTCTCCACCTTCAATACCACGACTGAGGTGCCCT